ACGGGGGAAACGGGGGACAGGGCGGACGGGGCGGGGACAGGGGACACCGGAGGGCACGGGGGGGGACAGAGGGACGGGGAACATGGGGGACAAGGGGACAACGGGTGGCATGGGTGGCCGTGGGTCACTCTGTGGGTGACCCAGGTGGCACAGGGTGACAGTGTGCCCCGGCTGTCCCCGCAGGGCGCGGCTGGCGCTGTCCCGCTCCGCCCGTGTCACCGCGCGTCGCCTGCGGCTGTTGGCGGCCGAGGCCGAGGAGCAGCGGCAGCGGGGGGAGCGACACCGGCTGCAGGTGGGACTGGCACCGGTGTCACCTCTGTCACCTGTGTGTCACCTGTGTCACCCACTGCCACCTACTGTCACCTGTGTGTCACCTGCGTGTCACCTCTGTCACCTACTGTCACCTACTGTCAGCTGTGCGTCACCTACTGCCACCTATGTGTCACCGCTGTCACCTGCTGTCACCTACTGTCACCTCCTGTCGCCTCTGTCACTTCTGTCACGTGCTGTTGCCCGCTGTCACCTGCTGTCCCCCACAGCCTCTGTGTCCCCACGGGTCCTCCCTGTGCCCCCACGTCCCAATGTCCCCGATGTCCCAAATCTCCCAGCATCCCTGAAGTCCCCAAAGTCCCCAATCCCCCCAATATCGCCGATGTCCCCAATGTCCCCAGCGTCCCCCGTGTCCCCAATCCTCCCAATGTCCCAAATATCCCCGAAGTCCCCAAGGTCCCTGCTGTCCCCAATGTCCCCAATGTCCTCTCAGTGTCCCCAATGTCCCCAATCCCCCCGCTGTCCCTACTGTCCCCATGTCCCCGTTGCTGTCCCCAGGTCCCCATTGCTGTCCCTACTGTCCCCATGTCCCCCTGTCCCCGTTGCTGTCCCCATTGCTATCCCCATTGCCGTCCCTGCTGTCCCCCTGTCCCCGTGTCCCCGTTGCTGTCCCCATGTCCCCGTGTCCCCCCACTGTCCCCATGTCCCCATTGCTGTCCCCGTTGCTGTCCCCACCGCTGTCCCTGCTGTCCCCACGTCCTCCTGTCCCCGTTGCCATCCCCCTGTCCCCCTGAGGCCGCGGGCCGTCTCCTGGCCGAGCAGGTGGCCGCGGTGGCCGCGGGCACGGCGCGGGCGCTGGCCCAGGGCCGCCAGCTGCGCCAGGAGCTGCAGGACGTCGGGGACGGCGCCGCGGCCACCGCGCGGCACGTGGCCGTGCTCAGGGCGCGCCTCAGGTGGGGACCCAGGGACCTATAGACACCCCATGGACCCTATAGACACCCCATGGACCCTATGGAGTCCCTATGGATCCTATAGAGCCCTTATAGACCCTCTAGAGCCCCTATGGAGCCTATAGACACCCCATGGACCCTATGGAGTCCCTATGGAGCCTACAGAACGCCATAGAATCCCTATAGAGCCTATAGACACCCTATGGAGCCCCTATGGACCCTATAGACACCCTATAGAACCCCTATGGAGCCTCTATGGATCCTATAGAACCCTATAGACCTTTTATAGACCCTATAGAACCCTATAGACCCTACAGAACCCTACAGAACCCCATAGAATCCCTATAGACCCTATAGAACCCTATAGATCCTTTATAGACCCTACAGAACCCTACAGAACCCCATAGAATCCCTGTAGACCCTACAGAACCCCATAGAATCCCTATAGACCCTATAGACACCCCATAGACCCTATAGAGCCCCTATAGAACCCCAGAGAATCCCTATAGACCCTATAGACACCCTATGGACCCTATAGAACCCTTATAGAACCCTACAAAACCCTTATAGAACCCTACAGAACCCTATAGACCCCATAGAACCCCTACAGACCCTATAGAACCCCTACAGACCCTATAGACCCTATAGAACCCCATAGAATCCCTATAGAACCACTATGGACCCTATAGACCCTATAGAACCCTACAGAACCCTATAGACCCCTATAGACCCTGTAGAACCCCTACAGACCCTATAGAACCACTATGGACCCCATAGAACCCCTATGGATCCCACACAACCCCCACAGACCCCTGGGCCCCTATGGGAAGGGGGGGTCCATGGGGGGTGTGTGGGGTTAACGGGGTATCGGGGTCCCCATGGGGTCTGTGGGGTCCCTCTGGGGTTTGTGGGGTCTCTATGGGATATTGGGGTCTCTATGGGGTCTGTGGGGTCCCTATGGGGTTTATGGGGTTTATGGGATATTGGGGGTGTCTATGGGATATTGGGGTCTATATGGGATTTTGGGGTCCCTATGGGGTCTCTATGGAGTCTATGGGGTTTATGGGGTCTCTGTGGGATCTCTATGGGATATTGGGGGTCTCTGTGGGGTCTGTGGGGTCCCTATGGGGTTTATGGGTTCTCTGTGGGATCTCTATGGGGTTTATGGGGGTCTCTGTGGGATCTCTATGGGGTTTATGGGGGTCTCTGTGGGATCTCTATGGGGTTTATGGGGGTCTCTATGGGATATGGGGGTCCCTATGGGGTTTATGGGGTCTCTATGGGGTTTATGGGGTCTCTA